GACAAAAAAAGTTTTACACTGCACTTCTCGATAAATAGAGACTGGAGAAATGTTTACATATGCACTCCACAAAGAGATGCAATCTATACAACAGTTTACTCAAAAGTTTCTCAGTAACTCAGAGATCACATTTCTTCTTTAATTTGTATTCGAGACAACCAGTGAGTGGGGTGGATAATTAAAATATCAAACTGTAGGAAGATACTTATTTCGAGTACAATCATATGAACTAGCACAAGGAGAATCGGCAGATATATTTCCATTCATTTCCAGATTAAATTGAATTGTAAAATTCTTCTTCTAGATATTAGTATTCATCAGTATTGGAAGACCATTAAATAATTGTATGATTATAACTACGAGTTACGTATCAAAATAAATTGCATCCTACTGTGAAATATTTGGAATCTTCAGATTTCAAACCATTACTAGATTTATTTCTGATTTGAATTGCAAAGCAATTCAATTGAAATCCGCCAATTGCAAGTGCAACTGAGTTTACGTGTATCTGCAGTAGAAAAGTAAAAGTTAGAAAGTGCATATGCCGTAATGTTCTAATTACTTATTGTTATACAACTGTACACTATCATTTCCTTGTCTATCCATAAGCTCGTGAACCGCAATACTGTAAGAAATAACATTTAAAAAAGTGTTCGTGGAAACTTGATTTTACAAAATTTCACTCACAGTTTACTTGTTTGATAGCTATCCATTAAGAATAACTAACCATATGTTCAATAATTGTTTTCTTTTGTAGGAATATTGGTAACAGTGTATAGTTAATAGGGTGAAATTTCCATGAAAATGAAGACCCTATAACATTGTTAAAATTTCTCACCAATTGAACTGTAAACCTATGAAGTGAACACACAAAAAGTATCCTTGATACTGATTAAACAATTATCACAATAAATTTTATTTAGGACACGTTTTACTACACGATAACTAATAAAAACAAATCTTACTGACTTTCACCAACCTCTGGATAGTAAATCCCAAAAAACATTGACCCACACATCATTTCTGTTACAGTTTTCTTGACGTGTTATCCACCAAACAAGTTTACTTCATCAGAAGATGACCATCTCCTCCATTTTTAACCAAGTTTGGTGTACTTTCTTTTTAGGTTCAACTCAGTATATCTTAGAGTACAGTATTTTATAGAAGGGCGTCACTATGGAATAACTATTATAAGATTTAAATCAATTGCCAATCGTCATTTTCACACGGGTTTTGCATTCAATGGTCTTTAGGGGGTTCACTTTTTACACATACTTTTCTCATTATTTAGATGTTGAACTATTACTCGCTCATATGTATACAAACTCTCGATTCTCAACTATGAAGAGAGTTCATTCAGTAGGCAATAGCAAATTAATTTCGAATAGGAAAAATCAATATGTTTAGGTATCGGTTGCCGTACTAACGTGGTATGCTTCAGAACCTTCCGAGACTACTATAGAAGTTCCGTCATCGCAGTACTTTTTTTAATGAATTTCGTTACTAGTTATACACAGTCCCTATAAATTCCATATTTGCCATTTTATCAGTACATTTAATAAAAATGTAAATGATGACTGTCTCTACAAGAAAAATGTTTGAGAAAAAATTTCATTGGAGGACTTTATTAACACACAAAATTTAAAAAAAAAAGTTTAGAATTCTTGTTTATCGGTTTGTCTTTGCATCTCTGCGCGCTAATCTCAAAAACTTCTCAACCGATTTGGGCACTTCACTTCTCATTTAGTGTTTTATTAATTTCTGTCGATACATACTCGTAGTAATGTCAGTTCAAAGAATCATTGTTTACATTCGGTGGAAAAAATATCATGAAAATATTATTCAGTTGATTGTAATGAAATTTGGCTGGTCTATATTATATAAACTAAAGGCAATGACATTTCCCATGCGAACACGCCATCTATGAGGTCAAAAGAGTACTCAATACACGAATATCAATAAACGAGCTCCCTGAGGCGGTCTGTTGCAAAGCTAAGCTTTGACATCGACCGCAGAACAAAATTCGTTTTCTGTATTCCACGGCAACCTTCATTGTAAGGCAACTAGATGATACCTGAGCACAAATATAAGGTATTCGTCATCCAACACTAGGCAGCTTTGTTTTGGCCTGCCAAGGTCTTATCAGTGATACTAGGCTGAACCATGAATGTATTACTGTCCTTTTAAACCTAGCCTCCGTTTCGGCTATCCCGGTGTTCTATCGAAAGCCAATCGCTCATTAAAAATACAAGTAACGAGTAATTTCAGCTGGTATTGATCTCAAACTGTAAACAAATGTATCTTTCCCAATAAAAAGGCAAAGAAGTTGGTTATTTCGGAAACCAATATTAAAAGTTCTGACAAGTTCTTAGTTTTGTAGATACTAGATTTTTCACTGATATTTGGTGAAATTTTTTAATAAAGTTCGAAATGTCTCAGGAACTTTGTATGAGCTTTAAATTGGGAAAGAGAAAATGCTTCGAATCATTGAAGCACAACGTAGAATCAGATTGTATGACCACAGGGGCAAAAAACCACATAAGGCGTGTTCAGTATCAACTCAATTTTTATTTATTTTTCAGGGTGTTTATTAAACATGCGACAAAAATTTAAGGGACTATTCCTTGGACTATTCTGAAGATATTTTGTCCTTTGATGATTTTTGATAGGCCGCTTTGTTTCGAAGATACTGAGCGAAAAAGAATTTCGACAATAACAATTTATTATTTTTCTGATTGATTCAGCCGTTACTTGATGAAGATCCACAGTAATTTCAAAAACTACACCTCACGATTTGATCTCCACAAACTTTATTTGAAAAATATATCACGACATGTTTCGCTAACACAGTAGCTTCT